GCCTTTCCTTAGAGGGTTAAACGTTAATGACCCTAGACCGAGAGGTTAGGACAAGTGGTTTTGTAACTTGACTTGATTTTTTTTTTGGCTATATATAAGAGGTAAGATAAAGCCGGATAGTCTTCTTGCCTAGTGTTAACAAAAGCGTTTTACAAGAATGATACCCAGCTCTGATGATGTCCATCATATACTGGACGAAAGCTCAACACGTTTTCACCCGAAACGAGGGAGGAAGTCCCGTGGACTACGTCAACATGAATATCGTGTAAACTCCAAACGGCTGCAGTACAACGAGATTCATCCGTCCTTATCTGGTGAGATCGACCAATGAATCTCTTCTTTATGCACTTTTATACCAAATGAAGGTCTCCCAAGCAATTTTATCTTAGGAGATTAATTGAAACCAAGTTTCTATTCGTATTCCCACTAGAAATATGCTAAAGGAAAAGCTTGGCTCCTTAAAATTTATTCTGTGACTAGAGGCACTCGTTGCATCGTGACCTAGTGGTCTATCCCTCCTTTACCACATTTGATCTATGGCGAGTGCACTCTTATTCAAGATCTATTGTTAGCTTCCCATATTGCTGCTCTGCTTGCACTTCTGTGTCGAATCATCCAGATCTCGTCCAATAATCAAATACAAGCATTTTCGCCCAATCAAGTCGCGTATCAAATATCTTATTTCATATAGTCCAGTCTGGATGAGGAAAAGCTAAGTGGAATTAAATCGCATCAGGAGGCCTACTCATTTCACTACGGGAATACCCCACTTATAATTCCTTAAATTACTCTAAGCCACACATGGTGACTCTTACCGTAGCATTAATTATAGTCTCGAGAAATACTTACATCAAAGTCTTATTTATTCAAAATTTTCATCTGATGTTTGCACGTGTTTCGACTCGATTGCTTAATAGTGATTTTAAATTTATCTTTGATGATGATATGGACCGATCCCTTGATCAAGCATAGTTTGCATAATACTTGACACTCATTGGCTTGATCATTTAAATGTAATGTACTTCGAACCCACATCGGCTTAAGATAATTGAACTGTAGCATCTATGAATCCCTTCTGTAGCGTGTTTATAGTAATATTATTGGCAAATTTCCCCTTAGTCACTGCTTTGTTCTCTTTGTTTCCAAAATGCTTTAAACTAATAAAAACTCATCAAATTGTTATCTGGATAAGACTTACATTCCAGTCGAATACTTTCTGTGAAAAATTTTGTTGAGCTCGCTTTCGAGTGAAGATACATGATAAAGTGATTATAAGGTCAATTTCAAGAGTAATCGACAGGGGATTCCACTTGGCTAGATGTTATTTAGCCTTACTGGGGGCGTTCTGGTTGATGCATTTTCCGAAGCAATCACCTCCTATTCCGATTAAAATGTGCTATACTTTCGTCATGTGACTAACATCATCAGAACAGGACATCAATCTTACATTTAATTCAAGTTAACGAGTCAAAACAACTTAAAATTTCCTTGACTAAGCTGGATTTAATCATAGGACTAGTAGCCTGCTTTGACGATATCCATCATAATAGATTGCATCGAAGCTAGTTGTATCGGGGATAGCGTCAGGTTCTGGTCTGATATTGTATGTTACATAAGCAAACACGGCCTCGTTCTATACTAAGATTAATTAATTAAAGCAGGCTTCTACCGAGTTATTGGTTTAAAAAGAATTTGAGATGATAATAATAAATTGGATGAAGATTTTCAGTGTACATTTTGTTAAAAATGAACTGATAGTCCTTGTGAGTCATAAGATGACTTGCTAAATTGCGATCATGAATTAATTAGCCTATTATGGGGGCAATCAATTTTTGCATGGGATGTTTGATTCCATTTCTTCCATGGCCAGTTGGAGATACTTTCATAATCATATGTCCTTTTTTTATAGACACTTGCATCCTGGTGGTGAATCATGTCTGAATATAAATGGGGTCTAATTATTTATATTATCTATTGCATTTTTTAAAATTATCATTTTTACCCGAAGATGTTAACTCGATTTCTTAGCTGATTTCTTCTCGACTACTTAATGGCAGTTTGCAGCCCTCACCTTTCCGTCATGCTGCTTGGCTGTTGCATGTTCTTCAACCTGGATTTAAAAGAATGCACGTTCAGTTACTTACTGATTAGGTTTACTAAATGTTTTGCTTCTCTAAATGCTGCTGTTTATACTTCTTCGTCAACTGACACCATTTATGTGGCTCAAACCTGGTCGTAATTCGACCAGAAATCCATATAGGCCTACAGTTTACAGCGATTTCACTTGTTGATTCAAGTTATCGTTGCTCTTCTATTGTATGCCAAAATTTTCGCTTCGTATTCAGATCCGATTAAAGTGATCTCTTTGTGGCAGGTCTCTTCATTTTGGAAGGAAAGTTGTTTGGAAGGAATTCGTGATGTGGTCTCACCAGGATCCTGCGACCCTGGAAAGTGAGCTGAGGACTTCTTCTCACAATTCAACAGTCTTTCCTATGTGACAATCCTCCGGTTTCCGGTGAGACCACATCACGAATTCCTTTCAACCAACTTTCCCTTCGTAATAGACAGTCATGACACAATATTTCATTAAAGGCTTATTCGAAACCCAGTTTTTCTTCATATCTTTTAAGTAATCACTATTACGGTTTTCGAAAAATTTCTTCCTGACTCATTTTAAGCCGTTTCAATAATAAATTAACGGATTCTGGAATACTGGATAGTTAGATAAAGTCCTATTTGAGTAGGGTTTCGAGACATCTCATTAGTTAGATAAAGCCTCAGCTTCAGCTCTATCGCTTGCCAAGACTCTTCTTGTCGTTAGTTAATTTAACTTTTTATTTGTAACATTATTCTTAGGACCATTAATATGGCTGCTGATTTGGACCCAGAGAATGACTTTATTTTCCTTCACTCATAAGCATAATTATGCACCTGATTTTTCTTACTAAGGTAAATTTGGATTGTTTTGACATTTATTTCTTGATATGCGCTATCCTATATATACTTAATTCCTTTTTTCCACTATATTTTTTCTGCTTTATTTTACCAAGCGCAAAGTAAAGGGATGGTCATATTTGGATCCCCCAACACTTGATCTGGCTCGCCAGCATATGAAGGTATGCTTATTATGCGCTTTTTATATAGTCGTTTCATTAAATGCTTCCACTATCGTAAACTCGTCTGTAAACCGAATAGCCCCAAAATAACCATAAGACTGATTATATTTTTAGCTTGATCCTCAAACTTTCTAATCATAAGGGACTCCTAATATTTCACCCTTAATCAAATTTATTTTGGTTTTGTTAACAATTAGTTTCATTTTAATCACTTAAATCATTAGACCTAAGAGCGCATCTACCCGCCTTATCTGTTACTGATATAGATTTTGTGAGCCAGATTTTCATTAGAGGGCTATTAGAACGACTATCTGGATTATTTTAGCTAGTCATACTGGGAAAGCTATTAGACAATTATCATAAAAAGCATAACTCATGACTTCCTTGGGTAACTGTCATTTGATTTTGTCTAAGTAAGAGTTTTTAACTGAAGCATGGTGGAGGCGTGCTAAAATTCCGGATCATCTTCTAACGGCCCTACTGAGATTTATTCTTAATACTACCTTTTAGTCTCAACATTACAGGCTCTATCAGCGACTTATGATTTTTTTTCTTTTTCCGCTTTTTTCTTGCTTTCTTTGCTTCTTTTACTCCTTAATTCAAGAACTTACGAATTTTTCCATCCTCTTTCACTTGAATATTCCTATGTTCTTCCTTTAACCAATTTCTGATAATATCCATTATAATAGTGCTCTTTATCTTCGATTTTACACGCCCCAGTGCTTCATTTTTCCTATTTTACCTGTATGCCCTATTTGCCTAGCTCGGTCAAGCCGCAGCTGCAGTGGCCAACTCGCGTGTCGTTGATCGACATGAGGAAGATATCACAACGCCGACCACCGCCTCTACAATCTCACAGACTTGCCAACAGGGTCAGAAGCTTCAGTCCATCCCAAAAATTTCTCCCGGATCTGGTACAGGTGTGGTGGCCACCGCCTCACTCTCATCATCCTTTTCTCTGCCTAGACAGACTGACAGCATCAGTATTAATTTTCAAGGCGGCCATCAGCAAACGGGCTTAATGGGTGGCGCCAGCGGCTGGCAGACTGGCTCGGAAGCAGGTACAGCCTCTCTCTCAGACAATCATCAACAACAGCAGCAGACTTTTGCTTCTGAGTGCACCAGTAGAAATCCTTCGGGAGCTGGTATAGCTATAGCAGCAGCAACAGCATCAACACCTCGCTACTACTCTCAAGCTATGGCCAACTCCTCGGGTCTGATTTGCCTCGGCAATGCAGAAAAAATGGGGCTATTTGACGGTTCCGCTCCTCCACAGCCAGCTAAGCGTCATAGCTTGTTACAATCGAGCCAGCGAGATGCATCAACCGGAGTAGTAGTTGGTCCTGGGCACTTACTCGATACTGTGGAAACTGTGGTATGCAGTCAATTATTGATTAATTTGGTAAAAAATAGACAAATATCTGATAACTCATTGAAAGGCTCATTTACTAAACATTCAATAGTGTAAAAAGGAACATGAACTTCATATTTATCCATTAAGACTTCTTTTAGCAAGAATGATCCTCCGCTTGATCGCTATTGGCTTTTCCTCGAAGATATAAAGACCAAGATGGTGTGGCCTTTTGTGTCTCCTTTAGTTGTATAGAAGTTGTTTGACCTTGTTTTCGCAACTTGGTCATAATGGTAGAAACGCACCTTGTCCTGAGTCCATT